CCAGGGAGAAACCAGAGAGAGACCAGGGAGAAACCAGAGAGACCAGGGATAGACCAAGGATAAACCGGAGAGAGACCAGAGAGAGACCAGGGGGAGACCAGGGGGAGACCAGATAGATACCAGAGAGAGACCAGAGAGATACAGAGAGACCAGAGAGAGACTAGAAACCAGAGAGAGACCAGAGAGATACAGCGAGACCAGAGAGATACAGAGAGACCAGAGAGAGACTAGAAACCAGAGAGAGACCAGAGAGATACAGCGAGACCAGAGAGACCAGAGAGAGACCAGAGAGAGACACTCCTGTCATGTCTCATCTCCTAATACCCACAAAATCAGATTCGTAGCAAGTTGCCGATTCAAATAAACTCCCTTCTTTCTTCTTTCGTACCGACTGCTCCCCTCCTCTCTCTCCTCTGGTCCTGTTCGCATTAAGCCTCCCCAATGAACGATTTGTGAATTTCCAGCCGACGTTCCGCCTTTCCAACCCTCCGCTCCGACTCCCATTTAGCACCATTACCGCCTTAAGTGAGTCCTTGGTCTATCCCTCTTCTATTCCGTTCTATCGTTCCTTCGTCATTCTCTCTCCTCCAGTGACTCTCTCGCTCGTCAGGACCATACGTCTTGTGAGAGAGCTTGGATTGATCTCATTCATCATCACTGTTAGAACAATGGCAGTGGATTTTGGAGAGGACATAACAAAGAGAGAGACCAGAGAGAGAGACCAGAGAGAGAGACCAGAGAGAGAGACCAGAGAGAGACCAGAGAGAGACCAGAGAGAGACCAGAGAGAGACCAGAGAGAGACCAGAGAGAGACCAGAGAGAGACCAGAGAGAGACACCAGAGAGAGAGACCAGACAGAGAGACCAGACAGAGAGACCAGACAGAGAGACCAGACAGAGAGACCAGAGAGAGAGACCAGAGAGAGAGACCAGACAGAGAGACCAGACAGAGAGACCAGAGAGAGACCAGAGAGAGACCAGAGAGAGACCAGGGAGAGACCAGGGAGAGACCAGAGAGAGACCAGGGAGAGACCAGGGAGAGACCAGGGAGAGACCAGAGAGAGACCAGAGAGAGACCAGAGAGAGAGACCAGGGAGAGACCAGAGAGAGACCAGGGAGAGACCAGAGAGAGACCAGAGAGAGAGACCAGAGAGAGACCAGAGAGAGACCAGAGAGAGACCAGGGAGAGACCAGGGAGAGACCAGAGAGAGACCAGGGAGAGACCAGGGAGAGACCAGAGAGAGACCAGAGAGAGACCAGAGAGAGAGACCAGGGAGAGACCAGAGAGAGACCAGAGAGAGACCAGGGAGAGACCAGAGAGAGACCAGAGAGAGACCAGAGAGAGACCAGAGAGAGAGACCAGAGAGAGAACAGAAACAGAAATAGAGCAGCGAGTGATGTCTTATTTGGTCCATGTCCCTTTCATAATGTAGGCTTTTATCGTAATTACTCAAGTATAAGTGCTTTTCTCTGTGTCACGCAGACGCTCTCTATAATTCAAGCCAACGGGAAACGATGGTAAAAGCAAATGAACAGATAGTAACAAATGGTATTTCAAAAACATAACAAAATAAATAAATAAAATAAAATCTGTCTTTTGAATTGAGTCGTCTCGAAGCTGCAGACTCTGTTCCATCAAAGCCACAGTTTGGTACCAATCACTTTAATTACTGGAATTATTGGAGTCATTTTAGCTCCTGGACTTTAGTAAAATCTGTGTTTGCACATTTCCAGAGCTGGAGACGCCGTTGTTCAGTCTCATATAAGACTCTGATGATGGAGGAGCAAGTGCCAGAGCGAACCATTATTCAAGTAAAAAAACACATTTATTACAGACACTGAGAATATTAAACAGCGGAAAAGTTATTCAAAAGTAGTCAGCAGATAAATGTACGGAGACAAAGGTACAAACAAAAGATTTAGGATTTAATAACAAAAAAAGAGCTCCATGACTGCATTGTTTTTATAGCATAGACCATGGGTGTCAAAGTCGAGGCCCGAGAGCCAGATGCGGCCCCCGAATGAATGACCTCGGCCCCGGGATGATATTTGATTAGTGTTAGAACCGGTGTTACCACCCGAAGGACAAAACATATTTGAGGACACAGAGACAGGTTGAGAGTTCAAAATTGATTTGATTTATTTTTCTCTCTGGAGAGGCCACAAACTGGACCAGGAGGACGCTCACCTCAGCAGGTGTTACCCAAGAGGCTGAGAGCAGAGAGGGGCCGGCACCGGGACAGCTCTTTACACTCCCGGCCTGAGCTGCAAAATATACAAAATAGGTTTCAATCAAAACATCAACAAAAATGTAACCTGTAAAATATACTTATAAAAACCAATCTTTGAAGGAAGTTTGTTTTGTCTTGAAATGACAGAAAGAGTTGTACAAAAATATTGGAATATTGATTTAATCCTAAAGAAAATAAGGTCCACTGTGTCAGGTCTTTATGCATCATTTTAATATGTTTTTTAGTAAATAATGAACCAGTCCAGACCTCGGCTCGAAGCATATTTGGTCTTTCGGCCTCTGACGTGTTCGACTCTGACCTCCCAGACTTAGACAGTGGAGAATCCTCCTGTGAGTGGTTCCTTTTCCGTCAGGGTTTAGAGCGGGGGGATCAAAATCTTTGATCTTTGATCTGCAGACGTCTGACAGTATTTCTGCCAGGGTCTAATCTGTATTCGCACTTCATCCAGAATCTGCCTGAGTCTTATGGTGTCATTAAACAACTACAATCCATTATAACAAACATGTCATAAATACAGTATAATTCCAGTGCCGTCTTTGTCTTGAGTCTTTCCAGATTGAAAGACGTTGAAGTAAAGCTAAATAGTGTCTTGGTTTCAGACTGTTTCAATGAAACCACATTGATTTTCTCCTGGTTCTTCCCGTGCTCTCCTCCGACCCTCGTTCCCGCCGTTGGAACACTTCACACGTCGTATGTTTTTAGGTAATTTATGATTTGTTTGTTTCAGCGAAAAGACTAATTTGTTCTGTAATGTTCTTTGAAGTCCATAAAGTGCTGGAGAAAGTGATAAATGTGGCTCATTTATCACGGCCCTTTGTAAACAACACGCTTTAAAACAACTGAGTTAAACCGGACGCAAAATGTGTCGTTCTGGTCGACTGTAGTTTTCACAACTATCTACTGCCAACAGAGAAACACACACACATGGCACTGTAGTGTGTGTGTACTCTGGGAAAAGCCCTATACTCTGAGGAGCACAGGGACTGACCTCCTGCTGGGACTCTGAGGAGCACAGGGACTGGCCTCCTGCTGGGACTCTGAGGAGCACAGGGACTGGCCTCCTGCTGGGACTCTGAGGAGCACAGGGACTGGACTCCTGCTGGGACTCTGAGGAGCACAGGGACTGGACTCCTGCTGGGACTCTCAGGAGCACAGGGACTGGCCTCCTGCTGGGACTCTGAGGAGCACAGGGACTGGCCTCCTGCTGGGACTCTGAGGAGCACAGGGACTGGCCTCCTGCTGGGACTCTGAGGAGCACAGGGACTGGCCTCCTGCTGGGACTCTGAGGAGCACAGGGACTGACCTCCTGCTGGGACTCTGAGGAGCACAGGGACTGGACTCCTGCTGAGACTCTGAGGAGCACAGGGACTGGCCTCCTGCTGGGACTCTGAGGAGCACAGGGACTGACTCCTGCTGGGACTCTGAGGAGCACAGGGACTGGCCTCCTGCTGGGACTCTGAGGAGCACAGGGACTGACTCCTGCTGGGACTCTGAGGAGCACAGGGACTGGCCTCCTGCTGGGACTCTGAGGAGCACAGGGACTGGACTCCTGCTGGGACTCTGAGGAGCACAGGGACTGGACTCCTGCTGGGACTCTGAGGAGCACAGGGACTGGACTCCTGCTGGGACTCTCAGGAGCACAGGGACTGGACTCCTGCTGGGACTCTGAGGAGCACAGGGACTGGACTCCTGCTGGGACTCTGAGGAGCACAGGGACTGGCCTCCTGCTGGGACTCTGAGGAGCACAGGGACTGGCCTCCTGCTGGGACTCTGAGGAGCACAGGGACTGGCCTCCTGCTGGGACTCTGAGGAGCACAGGGACTGACCTCCTGCTGGGACTCTGAGGAGCACAGGGACTGGCCTCCCTGCTGGGACTCTGAGGAGCACAGGGACTGGCCTCCTGCTGGGACTCTGAGGAGCACAGGGACTGACCTCCTGCTGGGACTCTGAGGAGCACAGGGACTGGCCTCCTGCTGGGACTCTGAGGAGCACAGGGACTGACTCCTGCTGGGACTCTGAGGAGCACAGGGACTGACTCCTGCTGGGACTCTGAGGAGCACAGGGACTGGCCTCCTGCTGGGACTCTGAGGAGCACAGGGACTGACTCCTGCTGGTCCCAGAGTCAGGACTAAACATGAGGCTGCGTTTCAGATTATGCTCCAATCTGGAACTTCCTGAAAATGTGAGACAGGCTTCTCTGACATTGTTCAAGTTAAAACAGTTTAGAAACAACTGAAGGACTTTTTCACTATTTTTAACCCTTTAACGTTCACTTCTTGAAGAAAGCAGTGTTATTTTATTTTTGGGATTTTCTAAAATGTAGAAGCACTAATAACCTTTTTAATTTTCAAATGATAGGTCTTTACCAAATTGTTGAAATGCAGTGATGTAAAAGTGCCTAAAACCAATTAGGTAGATTTTCAGTTCATAGATTAAAGTAGATTTTTAGACTCAAAAGCTGATCCACCAAATGGTTGAGAAAACCTGTGAATATTTATTATTTTTATGATTTTAATGCCGTGTGTGAATGTTTCTGTCTTTGTTCAGCACTTTACACGACACTAAGACTAAGGACAACGGATGCTAATTAGCTGTTGTGCTAATTAGCTGTTGTGCTAATTCCATCATATTCATGTTGACGCTGTTTTCAGACACGTTCATTAATGTCCGTCCTAAAGTCAAACAAATATAAACTTGGGCTTAACTGTTGCTGCCTCTTTCTAACTGGTCCTGGTCTGTGTTCCTCCAGGACCGGGGGCTGTGTACGGACGAGCGAGCGGTCTACAGCCGGGTCTGAGCGTCAGCATCTTGGTTTCGCTTTCGGCCGTCCGTCTGCTGAGGGTCTGACCAGCTCCTCGCAGACCTCTCTCCAAGACCCTCTCCGAGCCCTTCTCCTTCTCTCCCCTTTACTCTTTTTTGACAGAAAGAAAAATTGATATGAAATTCTTTAATTACGAACCCATCACTGTGAACTAAAAGAATATGCATCGTTCAAGGAGCCATCTCGACATTCGACAAAACGACCACAGCAACGAAACTGTCTTTTCATATCTCTTTCTGTCCTTTTCCCACAATATCTGACTTTGTCCTTTTTTATTTTTTATTATGTTTTCTTCCACCACCATTGTCAACAACGGCTGGTAAAGAGTGTATATTGAAGATTATTGTATCAGTGATCACAGTGAGAAAATAGAAAATCTAACACCTGGACGATCATAAATGTAAAATACACATAGACTTTATGACTGACCTAAACGTTTGCCTTACAGAATATCATCAGAGGGATTCTGCCGCTGCGGTGCCGTTGGTCCAATATACCAGTGTCACCCATGTGCATTGACAAACATGTATGGCTTTTTCTCTGTGCAGCAGTGAGTCTGCTATGAATGATGTCAAAATGTGGGTGGGTGGTGATGGCGTCAGTCCGACCCCTGCTGTAATATGGGGGCTATACTTACGCATGTGGACCCCTCACTACCCAGACCTTTAACTACATCTGTTTGTAGCTGTCTGTTTGATAATCAACTCTGGGCCCTGTTTCTGCCAAGCCGTTCACAATACAGTCATTTAGTTATACAGTCATTTAGTGTATTGAGCTAGCCTGGTCTTACCACACCATAGTACTCAGTTTCATTTCATACTAAGGTCTGGATTGTCTCCATTGACTCCGTTAACAAGTGGGAGGGGCTAACTCCTTTTACAGATTGAAACCATTGGATCTGAGTTTACTGTGACGTTTGTAATGAGTCCAAGTGAGTTGTTAGCATTTAGCATTTAGCCTAGCTTTAGCATGTAGCCTAGCTTTAGCCATCTCCTTTGCCACTAACGGAGCCCGTGGGGAGTAGAGCCACAACATCTTTGCTTCAATGACATTTACTAAACATTCCTCTTGCTCCGGCTTCAGTTTCTTGATATTATCACATTCTCCATGGTCCAGAGTTTACACATGGTAAGACCAGACGTACATGTAGGAGATGATCATGGACCAGAGTTTACACATGGTAAGACCAGACGTACATGTAGGAGATGATCATGGACCAGAGTTTACACATGGTAAGACCAGGGTAGAACTGAGCAAGAGGACCAGCAATCCTAGGACGGACGTTATTTATGCCCAAAATGAGCATGTTTTAAATCAGTGTCAGGGGTTTCTGGTTTCGCCCGTCAACCCAAAATGGTTCTAACGTTAAAGCTGAAGCACCTAACTTAGAAACCACATTAAATAACGATATAATAGAATCCATGTACCAGTACCAGTACCAGTACCAGTACCAAGAGAGTTCCAGCCCTCACTATAAAATGTTTTCTAATAAGTCTGTAATCTGTAGAGTCCAAACCTCCAGCTATAGGCGTAAATCCATTTCATAAAAAGAAAAAAAGTCACTGGTCATTGTACCATTGTTTCCTGAAGATTTTGTCCGAAATCTTACCATAACTTTTAAGTCTTGTTGAGGTCTGAATGCGTCGCTTTCTGTCGGGAAAAAACTAAATGTATTCTCTATATGCAACAAAAGATTAAGATGAAGAGATCCTATGAAAGCTCTATCTTTAGCATTTCAAAGAAGCAAGTCTAAAATATCCAACTTTAGTCTAACACAGAAGCAATGATGAAGTGTTGACTTTAATTCTACTGTCCAGTCTTCCAGATAAAGTTTGACAATGATTTCTATTCCGGAGGATTTAATTACTTTAATTTAACCCAGTAATAAAACCACTGGGTTTAATGGAGAATAGAATCAACGCCATTGTTTACTGGATAAATGTATAATACATTTTTGACATAAAAGGGGCACTGTACAAAGTTATTGTAATGAATTATGTAAAAACCAGAAGAACAATGTAAAAGTTGTACTTCATTGTTTGATCGACTTCTGTATAAAATCCGGCACTTTCTTTTAGAGTCAAACCCAAAGCGCCCGAGTCATTGCACCGCACCTTGAAAACCAATGAGTACGGGAAGATTTCAGCTTTGGTCTATCGCACAAGTAGATTAGTGCTCCTTGGATGGGCTTAATGTGAGCAATCAGCAGGTTTTTTCTGCAGTGTTGGAACAGATTTCTTCTTCAGGATCTGCGTTCTCCTTCATCCACCAAAACCATGCTCAAAAAGTAGCCCATGAAGTCTTTGACAAACATGTGGGGCGTGCACATCTACTGCACGTGGTCGATTGCTTCTGTCTGGGAGAAGATTGGTCAAATTGTTGGATTCTTTGGTGGCAAGAAAGATTGGTCTGTCTTTGGTTTTGGTTTAATAGTTATTGGCGATCCAGTTTTCCAATTCAACTTATTGTATATATACTGTACCTATACCTATATATAACCCTAATTAACGACAGCAGTTATCTGGGAAGACTTTACAAACCCTACAAAGCCGAAATTAAGTGGTAAAAAACACTTAGAGACATAAGTCCATAAATGTCGTTGAATGTGGAGTTTCCAGGATCAGTGTCCTTAGACCGTCCTTCATCGGCAAGGAAAAACTCTAAAAACCCAGTTTGAGAAAATTACAAAACTTGGGGAGGCCCATGTTAAGGGAGGGATTCGAGCCTACAGACGGACGGGCTACAGACCCAAGAACCGAGGCCACACGATGCAGGACTGAGACAGGTCTGAGGAATGACTGAAACAAGACTGAAACAAGACTGAGGCAGGATTGAAACAAGACTGAGGCAGGACTGAAACAAGACTGAGGCAGGACTGAAGCAGGTCCAAGGGGGGGACAAAGTACAGCCCTCGAGTCCAGGCCCGGGAAGCTAGTCCAAAACAGTGAAGAAGATGACATGTCTGGGATCGTGTCTTAAATTCAGACAGAAGACATGTTTTATTGTCAATGGTAGAGACAGCACGAACACGAACACAGATACAACAGAATGCAAGTGTATTATACAGAGCGTTGGCATGGAGACCTCCAATCAGCAGCTGCCACAGTGCCATGTAGCTTGGCCTTCAGATAGACACAACAAGGGAAAAGTACTGGCTTCTGCACATTGATAGAATGATGAGTTTAACTTTAACAAAAGTTGCTTCAAAGTGTTATGAAATCTCACAACAGCATTACTATTGCCACAACACAAGGGTAAAAGGGTGAAACCAACCCGTCTCCCCACGTCTAAACCCAGCTCACGTCTGAACCCAGCTCACGTCTAAACCCAGCTCACGTCTAAACCCAGCGCACGTCTAAACCCAGCTCACGTCTAAACCCAGCTCACGTCTAAACCCAGCGCACGTCTAAACCCAGCTCACGTCTAAACCCAGCTCACGTCTAAACCCAGCTCACGTCTAAACCCAGCGCACGTCTAAACCCAGCTCACGTCTAAACCCAGCTCACGTCTAAACCCAGCTCACGTCTAAACCCAGCGCACGTCTAAACCCAGCTCACGTCTAAACCCAGCTCACGTCTAAACCCAGCGCACGTCTAAACCCAGCTCACGTCTAAACCCAGCTCACGTCTAAACCCAGCTCACGTCTAAACCCAGCTCACGTCTGAACCCAGCTCACGTCTAAACCCAGCTCACGTCTAAACCCAGCTCACGTCTAAACCCAGCTCACGTCTAAACCCAGCTCACGTCTAAACCCAGCTCACGTCTAAACCCAGCTCACGTCTAAACCCAGCTCACGTCTAAACCCAGCTCACGTCTGAACCCAGCTCACGTCTAACCAGCTCTCAAACCCAGCTCACGTCTAAACCCAGCTCACGTCTAAACCCAGCTCACGTCTAAACCCAGCTCACGTCTAAACCCAGCTCACGTCTAAACCCAGCTCACGTCTAAACCCAGCGCACGTCTAAACCCAGCTCACGTCTAAACCCAGCTCACGTCTAAACCCAGCTCACGTCTAAACCCAGCGCACGTCTAAACCCAGCCACGTCTAAACCCAGCTCACGTCTAAACCCAGCTCACGTCTAAACCCAGCGCACGTCTAAACCCAGCTCACGTCTAAACCCAGCTCACGTCTAAACCCAGCTCACGTCTGAACCCAGCTCACGTCTGAACCCAGCTCACGTCTAAACCCAGCTCACGTCTAAACCCAGCTCACGTCTAAACCCAGCTCACGTCTGAACCCAGCTCACGTCTAAACCCAGCTCACGTCTAAACCCAGCTCACGTCTAAACCCAGCTCACGTCTAAACCCAGCTCACGTCTGAACCCAGCTCACGTCTAAACCCAGCTCACGTCTAAACCCAGCGCACGTCTAAACCCAGCTCACGTCTAAACCCAGCGCACGTCTAAACCCAGCTCACGTCTAAACCCAGCTCACGTCTAAACCCAGCTCACGTCTAAACCCAGCTCACGTCTAAACCCAGCTCACGTCTGAACCCGCTCACGTCTGAACCCAGCTCACGTCTGAACCCAGCGCACGTCTGAACCCAGCTCACGTCTAAACCCAGCTCACGTCTAAACCCAGCTCACGTCTAAACCCAGCTCACGTCTAAACCCAGCTCACGTCTAAACCCAGCTCACGTCTGAACCCAGCTCACGTCTAAACCCAGCGCACGTCTAAACCCAGCTCACGTCTAAACCCAGCTCACGTCTAAACCCAGCTCACGTCTAAACCCAGCTCACGTCTGAACCCAGCGCACGTCTAAACCCAGCTCACGTCTAAACCCAGCTCACGTCTAAACCCAGCGCACGTCTAAACCCAGCTCACGTCTAAACCCAGCTCACGTCTAAACCCAGCTCACGTCTAAACCCAGCTCACGTCTGAACCCAGCTCACGTCTAAACCCAGCTCACGTCTAAACCCAGCTCACGTCTAAACCCAGCTCACGTCTAAACCCAGCTCACGTCTGAACCCAGCTCACGTCTAAACCCAGCTCACGTCTAAACCCAGCTCACGTCTGAACCCAGCTC